ACAATATATTTTTAATCTTTAATGGTACGTAAGATAATCGCAATTTACAAGTCTATATAATATTCTCCTTTGCATTTACAGCAAATCGCACTAAAGGTTTAATGATATGTTTAGACGAATAGCTTATTATTAGCACACTCGTCATGGTACAACTTGTTGTGACGTTCTAATTAGTCGCTTGATGATTGTTCTAATTTTTATCTTGATAAAATCAGGACAGATACAGAGCAATGCAAGATGAGCAAGCATTTAGCTTTTGTGAAACTATCAAAGTAGGGAGAAGTTCTCGATATCGTTTTTTATCATTAAAAAAGTAATTATTGATTAAGTTGCGGTTTTAATCATAAGTCATAAGATTATGTGTTAATTCTACATCAAATCCGTACAAAAAAATTGAAAATAAAACATTAGAAAAAAGGCATTAATTATGTTCCATCTAAATCAACAAAATCTAAATAGGTATCTTGTACATATGCACCTAAGTCGTGGGCATATTTCAAAATTAGGCATTTTACAAAACGCAGAGTCTATGAAGCAATTATTTAGAAGAACTACTGATCAAAATCATACAATCTTCCTTGAGACCTTCACAATTGCTAACTTATCCCCTTCTTCATTCCCTCCGATGGAGGACAGATTAAAAATTATGAAGATTTAACGAAGGCTTTTAGTATTGTTGGTCAGTTGTTTAAAATCCCTTTTCATAAAGCCTTTGCGTTTTGTAAAATGCCTAATAAATGCTATATGCTTACGATATATTGTATACTAGTTATCGGCAATATGTATAATCAGTAGATGGCGACACACTACTCCATAGATACACTACTCCATATTTAAAATTTGTCTGACCATGAAACGATTATTAAGTGACCATAGATTAGGTGACTGTCACAATGATAATGTAACATAACCTAGGTGGTTTCTCTTGCAAATTTTAAATTGATACAGGTACTGTAATAATGTTTTTTTTATTTAGCGTTCACATTGCGGACTTATTTTAATTAATTTAATGAATTATCAAGATGTTCTACTTTTTTATCGCACAAATTCATAGATCTACTCTTAGTTTATCATTAAAACGTTTACAAAATGTGAATGGTAGTGTGTTCCTTTCAAAACAAATTTATATTAAACGTTTTCACGCTATGACTGATAAATCAAACACTAGGAAGTCATATGTTACTGTTAATGTATTACAAAGTGAAAGTGTAAATAGTTCAACTCGTGTACGCAAATTTTTTCAAAGGCATAGAAGTACTAAAACTCAGAGGCTTAAAAAGGCTGATTTATCTAGACTTTTTTCCCTTGCGAAATCCGAAAAATGGACCCTTTTTGGTGAGTTAAATTGTGGCCCCACATATAAATTTATTTCAAATAAATTGATAGGTTTTCTCTGCAGGTGCTGTATGTTTACTTTTTATATCAAGTGCAGTAACAATGGCAGTCCCTTTCAGTCTAGGAAAGGTTTTGGATATTATTTACACAAATAATGAAAATTCTGATGATGCTCGACAAAAGTTAAATAAGTTATGTGGAATACTAATAGCTGTGTTTCTTCTTGGTGGTATTTGCAATTTTGGAAGAGTTTACTTAATGTCAACTTCAGGTAAACAAAACACCACAGGGGTTTAATTAGATTAGTTCTGGAGTAGGTTCTCATATGTAAAATCTTAGTAGTGATAATGATATATACTTTTTTACTGACAGGTTATAGAATGACTCAGGCCTTGCGTTTAAAAGTATTTTCTTCAATTTTGCGACAAGAGCAAGGATGGTTTGATAATCGTTCAACAGGGGAATTAGTTAATAGGTTGTCTTCTGATACCCAAATAGTTGGTTATGCTCTTACCACAAATATTTCTGATGGTCTTAGATCAACAATTATGGTTTTAGCTGGAAGTGGAATGATGGTATTTTTATTTACTTGCTATAAAATGTTACTTTTTAAGTAACTTTCTTCAAACTTCTTTAACGTTATTGTTATGGTTAATTTGCAAAACCTTTTCATATATTTATATGTATGAAAACGTAAAAACTTTTCCTCTTTAACATTTTTAGTTTTATATGTCTCCAAAATTAGCTTTGGTAAGTTTGACAGTTGTTCCACCAGTAGCGGTCATAGCGATAATATATGGAAGGTACGTTCGCAACATCACAAAAGAGGTCCAAGACAAATTGGCAGCTGCATCTCAAGTAGCTGAAGAACGAATTTCAAACATGAAAACTGTTAAGTCTTTTGGCAGGGAATCGTTGGAAATGGATCGATATAAGTGCGCTATTGAAAAAGTTCTACTTTTAGGATACAACGAGTCAAGAGCAAGAGCTATATTTTTTGGAATGGTTAGTAAACTTTTCCGAAATATCGAAATGAAATTAAATTGGTCGTAGGTTAAAGTTTCACATTTTTAGTGTTAGTTACACTTGTTGCAACTTATTATTGTAACTAACGTTATTCTGTAATGTGAAACAGTTTTTGATTTAAAAAAAAATTCACCATAACTCCCTAATAATGAATTTCTATGTTAATTAAATTAGTGGGATTGTAAAGTATTGTATATATGTATTTGGTTCTTTTTTGACTGGGCATTTTGTAGACAGGACTCACAGGAAACGTTATCATCATTTCTGTTCTATATTATGGAGGAGTAATGGTTTCTGCTCATGACATTACTGTCGGAAACTTATCTTCGTTTCTTTTATATGCAGCATACATAGGGGTGTCTTTGGGTGGTCTTTCGAGTTTTTATTCCGAGTTAAACAAAGCTGTAGGGGCTGCAACAAGGCTGTGGGAAATAGTTGATAGACAACCTGCTATGCCTGTTACTGGTGCAGAATATTCTTTAAAATTGAAATATAGCTTATTAACGAATGGAAATAATTTGTAGGAGGCTCAATTCCAATTAAAGAACCTGAGGGCCACATACAGTTTAATGATATTCAATTTAAATATCCATCGCGATCTAACGTAGAGGTGCTTAATGATGTTAAACTAGATATAAGTCCAGGTAAAACGGTGGCGGTGGTTGGTCCAAGTGGTTCCGGGAAAAGCACATTAGCTGCTTTACTTTTACGTCTATATGACCCTACTAAGGGAAATGTATTATTGGATGGACAGGATGTAAGAAATTTGGATCCTAAATGGATAAAACGATGTATTGGAACAGTTAGTCAAGTATGTTTTTGTACTCTGTCGTTTTCTTTAGTGTTTTTAAATTTTAAATATGTTTATTTGAAATATTTCTAAAAAGAGACAGAAGAAAAGTTTCTTTATTTTCTTCTTTGTATATGGTGATTGTTAGATAGATTGAGTTCACTTTCAGGAGCCTGTGTTATTTTCATGTAGTATTAGAGATAACATTTTATATGGTGCTGATTGTCCAGAAAAAATAACAGAGGAGAAACTGACAGAAGTAGCCAAAGAGGCAAATGTACTTGAATTTGTGCAGCAATTACCTGAAGGCTTTAACACTCTTGTTGGGGAAAGGGGAATTATGTTAAGTGGTGGTCAGAAGCAACGAATTGCTATTGCTAGGGCGTTAATTAAAGATCCAAAAATTTTATTACTTGATGAAGCTACAAGGTAAAAAAACCTTTGAATCGGAAGATATTTTTTTATTAATCTATTATTTTTTAAGTGCTTTAGATGCACAGTCAGAAAGTTTGGTTCGGGAGGCTTTAGAACGGGTTATGAAGGGCAGGACGGTGCTAACTATTGCGCATCGATTGTCTACAATTCAAAATGCCGATGTGATAGCTGTACTCAAAAACGGTACAATTGTGGAACAAGGTACTTACAATGAATTGCTTGCTAAAAAGGGTGCCTTCAAGGAACTTATAAAACATCAAACTTTCCAAGAAGTATAATTTAATTATACATATATAAATTTATATATATATATATATACCCTGTATCACACTTCCCACAACAGTACAAATTTTAGTTAGATGTATTTATTGTACATGTCCTGTCTCACATTATAAATTATTTACGTAAATATTATGTGCAATGTAAATTAAAGAATTTTAATCCATACCAAAATAATGTTACAGTAATTAAGATTCCCACTTTTGTAACATTTTGCCCAACAAATATAGCAATTTCAATTTGATTGTGGTGTTTGTTCATTGTATACTTTTTATAATAACTTCTTTCANTAATATGTGCCAAAATAGTTAGTTATTTTTCTTTTTGGTGATTAATCAATTATACATCATTGTAATTCGAGATTATCACTTTTATGCTTCGTTCTCTATATAATGTGGTGTTTATTTCTTCAGTGTTTCGAGTCTTTTTTGTCTCTTTTACACAGTAGAAGGAGCCATTACTGTCTTTTCTGTTTTATTATAAGTTTTTCACTTCATCAGTCCCAATATACTTTCGTATGAACCCGATATGAGCGCAAATAAGGCAAAAAGCATGAGAGCTATGTTCTTCCAAAGTTTCCATTTTAGCGTTCCAAGCTCACCTTCCCAGGAAATGACAGTGTCAACAACAGCTGGGATGAATATTCCAAGCATGGAAAGGCAAATGGATCCGACTAAGCCAATGATTGGTTCTAAGTCCGGCACTAATGCAGCTACACCAACTGTCATAGAAACTAAGAGAGTTCTTAGTACAATTTGAGTTAAATTATGAAATTTCGTTGAAATATGTTTGCCTGTTATTCCCCAAGTTATCGAGTAAGCAACGTACGTTCGTTGTTTTCTCGTAATTTCGAATGTTTTTGAATAAAAGTAAAATGAATACTTTATTTTCTGAATAAAAGATTATGACGATTAAAAATATTCTTCCTGCTACAAACATGTATTTATGCATTTTCTCATCTGTACGTCTTAACCCTTAAAATGTTTACAATTCTTTGTGGCAAAGGGAAGGATATTTTATACCAACATTTTAAAATATTTCCATTAAACTTTGCCACGATCCTGATACTAGTGTAACCAAAGAGAATATCATTATGATACAGTTTTTCCACAATTTCCATTTCCCACAGCCTAAATCGTTGCCCCAGTTTACTGCGATGTCGATGGCTGCCGGTATAAAAAATCCTAACATAGAAAAGCATATGGCACCTACTAATCCTATAATGGCCTCCAGATTTGGTACTGCGGCCGCTATTCCAACAGTTCCACATACTATAAGGCTCCTAAATGTAATCTGGAATATATTGTAGTATCTATTCGGCAACTTTGGGCTGATATTTCTCCAAGTAATATCATAAGCAACAAAGAATTGAATAGTGTAAGAGAAAAAGATAGCTAAAGCAACGAGAGCTTTTACAACTTGGGCAAGTCTGAAAAATAAAAAATTGAAAGAAAGTTAGACAGTATCAGTCACAGAGGTAATATGTTACTCAAAAACATAAATATATGTTTAGAAAGTAGACAAATAATGAAGGAAAGGTAGAAAAAAGTGGAATTTGAATATGAGTCGCTAATTGCATAGTGTTTATTAAATAGTAAAATAGTGTCATTTCAATGTGCGTTACTTTAGATTAACAAGGAAGTACAGTTAGACCGTGATGTGCAGAAGAAAAGACGTAAAAAAGGGAAAATCGCATGTTCCATTACACATTACGGTTTTGATATTAAATTTGTATTAAAGAATTAGTAGTTTAGATTCTTTTTATTATTCTAGACATAAGACATTGATCATACTTTTTAAAATACAAAAACATAGATCTTGCTTTTAGAACCATGATTTACTTATAAACTATTAGTAAAAAAAATTGGAATGGTAAAGCAATGGAATTACAATAAGAATAATATAAATTATGTTAAAATCACAAAAAATTTTTGCATTTTGTAGATTTACAAAAATCTAAACACAATAATTTATGACATCACAGGACTAATTTGTACAAAACTAATTTATTGTCATATTAAAATATACTTAAATTGTAAAGCTGGAACTTCAATTCAATATCATGAAATGGTACTGTATAGAACTTTTTATGTACAATGTATGACGTACGTTCTACTTACAATAATTTGCCCTTTTGATAAAGAATATTTATTCGTACATCAGTAGGTAACTTAATTGGAATTATTATTGTTTATTTATTATCACAAAATCTTCGGTAAAGTTAAAAGAAAACAATAGAAAACAGACGTTAAATGTTTGATGTGTTGCCTACTCTGACTTCAATTTATGATATATTATTCTGGAAAATTAAATTTTCTGTTGAGATTCTCAAAAAGAAAGTAAAAAAATATAAATTTCATTAATTAAAAGTTTGCATAACATTAGTTAATCACAGTTTTTACGAGGGTTTTAGTTAACAAAATAAAATCACATGAAAATAGCTCAAAATAAATTTATAAATTTGCAAAAAAAGGTCGAATATTTCTAAAAAATTTCTATTAATTTTAATCNAGTTTAATCTTTGTAGTACAGGTAACTTTGTAAAATATATTTTGTATATTTTACGACTAACTTCAACAAGTTCCGTAAATACGTTTATAAGCAAGTCTATTCTGTTAAGTACCTACTACAGTAGACTTTCAATAGTGTGTTGAATTGAAAAAAGACAGTTGTTCATATTATAGATTTTTTCACATTAATTAATGTTATATCTTATATGTAATAAGATTCTATGATTGCCAAAATAAATACGAAAAATTGAGCATTCATTAAACAAACTCATCTAAAGCCAGTTCTGGTCGGGGGGATAATTTTTGCCCAGAAATTTCTGAAAGCGAATTATTAACTACGTACCTAGCTAATTGTAAAGCGAATATGACTGCGAGGAAGTACCAAATAAAATATTTTTTTTCTGCAATGGTGTAATCGCACCATCAAAATTTCGATTTTTAAGGTCGATGAGCGTTAGTTTCTGTAATCAAAGGTTTAGTTTCTTCACAAATACAACGTTATTGAGTATTCAATTAATGTAATTGTCACATTAAGCGGAGTTTCCGTAATGCAATCTTCACACTATCACGAGTCTACTGTAATATGTATCGATTCAGTTAAATAGCTAACATACTTATTAGGTGTATGGCACATGTTGAAAAACTTACTTAATATGTGCCAAAATAGTTAGTTATTTTTCTTTTTGGTGATTAATCAATTATACATCATTGTAATTCGAGATTATCACTTTTATGCTTCGTTCTCTATATAATGTGGTGTTTATTTCTTCAGTGTTTCGAGTCTTTTTTGTCTCTTTTACACAGTAGAAGGAGCCATTACTGTCTTTTCTGTTTTATTATAAGTTTTTCACTTCATCAGTCCCAATATACTTTCGTATGAACCCGATATGAGCGCAAATAAGGCAAAAAGCATGAGAGCTATGTTCTTCCAAAGTTTCCATTTTAGCGTTCCAAGCTCACCTTCCCAGGAAATGACAGTGTCAACAACAGCTGGGATGAATATTCCAAGCATGGAAAGGCAAATGGATCCGACTAAGCCAATGATTGGTTCTAAGTCCGGCACTAATGCAGCTACACCAACTGTCATAGAAACTAAGAGAGTTCTTAGTACAATTTGAGTTAAATTATGAAATTTCGTTGAAATATGTTTGCCTGTTATTCCCCAAGTTATCGAGTAAGCAACGTAGAACTGAAGACTGTAGGTGAAAAAGATGGCTAACGCCACTAAACATTTTACCACTTGGGCAAGTCTGTAAGAGAAAATATATTTAAGTATAAAATATATCCGTAAATATCTTGCTATGTCGTCACACTAAAAAGCAAAACGTAATCACAAGACGGCACATTAACTGTAATTATAAGCTGTAATAAATTTAAATATGACTACAATTTTATCTGGCATACTTTGTTATCGTTGACAAGCTAAAATGACCATTCGGTTTGCAATTATAATGCTACAAATGTGAAAAGCACCTTTTTTAGTTTTAGTGCAATAAAGAGAATGTATAAAAGATAAATTTTGTTGTAAAGTTTCTTATTTAATTAGCAGTTGTAATTAATTGCCACAAACCACCTTAAATATTTCACGTAAATAATAACTGTAATTAAGCAAAAATAAAAAATAATAATTCTAAAAGCGACTGCTCACATATATTTATTATACATCTGCACCATCTAAGAATCAACGTCCACATAATGCGAAACATTGTGAAAAATATTCTTAATTACCTTTTCAAGTCCAAAAAAATTTTTCCCCGACATCAGCACGCATCAGCAACGTTAAAAATAAGACTTTCCTCTTTGTTTGATACCGAACCTATTACACACATCACGAATTTGATTTATAAGTTACGTATGCGATCACATATTTTTGCAATCAGTTTAGGTACACTCGAATTAACATATATATGTAGTTAAAAAATATGGAATTGGGGAAATACGTAAGTGTATGTAAAATATTACGATAAATTTAAAATTATTAGTCTCATATTTCAATAATTTAATTGGGGTTGTACTTTTTCAATTGAAAAGTTTTCTTCCACCTTTACGGTAAATATATCTGTGAAAAATAATAATAGAGAAAGTTGAAGTATGTTCGAAATGTTTCTTCGATAATAGTGTGATGAAACCTTACTGTGGTGCGAAACTATGTATATATATAAGCATTTCATCAAAATCATGAATTACAAACTATACTGTGAGGTAAATCACTATAAAGTCTGGCCTTACATTTCATCAACTGGTAAGTTGTATGTGATGCTGCCTTCTGTTGCTTCTCCATACTTCAAGTATCCGAAGAATCCAATGACGCCATAGAGGACAACGACAGTAGCCATGGCAGTATTTAACACACCGGGACATCCCAAGAAATGATGGGGTTTTTTCATGTTGTTTTCGACCGGCATAACCAGACCAATTCCCTCCATAGCGAAAACGACGGTGCTAAGGAAGAGCGGAATTCGCGAAATAGGAGCCATAAGATTTTTGCCTTCCATTGTAAAGGAACCGTTGAACATATAGTACAACGTGATGGCGAATGAAATAACCAAGAAGATATTGGCAAGCATGGAAAAGGGCACCAAGTATTTCAATTCTCTCACTTGGCAAATCAATATCAGTAGGGGTAGGATGATTACCATGTACATCTGCACGCTCCAATTTAAATCGGGGTAATAATAATCAACTAACTGCAAATTTAAGAAATAATTTT